TTGGAAAACATTTTACAGACATAATTTTGCAATTTTGATCCAACATTTGGTTAAAAAACTCTAAAATGAATCAACATTAATTGCAGATCTAAATTTGATTTTCTAAAACTTCACTTGCTGAGCAGTCCTTACCTTTGCAAATAACCTCTCATCTTCTTCTCTTGCATCACTTTAACGCTGCAGCAGCTGTAGCGCTCACAGACACAATGTGTGACAAACTGGAGAGAAAAAGTTTGTGTTTCCTGATAATTGTTGAGCTGATTGAGAAGTAGTTGAAATGGCTCTAGGCTTAAAAAAAGTTAACTAATTCAATAATAATATGCTTTAACCTGCCTAATGATAATAATAATGCACATCCATTCACTGTTCACGTGCATTTAGGTGTGCAGAGTATCCAGCTGAGGTTCAAAGTGACCATCAGAATGGGGACGAGAGGTGATTTAAGTTATTTAATGTGGCACTTATTGTCATAGTGCAAGACAGGGTGGTCTGAGAATTTCAGAAAACGGTCATCTACAGAGATTACTCATCACAACCATCTGTAGGGTTTGCAGAGAGTGGTCAGAAAAAGAGAGAATATCCAGTGAGCTGCAGCTCTCTGGGTGAAAATGCATGTTAATGTCAGAGGTCAGAGGAGAATGGCCAGGCTACTCTGAGATGAACAGAAGCAACAATAACTCAGATAACCACTACATACAGCCAAGGTACGCAGAAGAGCATCTCTAAATGCAGCAGAAGACCACATCACTCCTGTCTGCTAAGAACAGGAAACTGACGATACATTCTTTAAAAGTGGACAATAAAAGATTAGAAAAAACATTTCCTGGTCTGATGGGTCTCAATTTCTGTTACAACTTTCAGACGATAGGATGAGAAAAATGGATCCATTCTGCCAAGTACCAACAGTTCAGGCTGCTGGTGGATGTGTAACTGCCAAATATGCTTGGCTGCCTGGCTGAATGAGGCAGTTGTATAAAACTTTGAGTACTCCAGTGGAGTAGAAAAGCGCTTTATAAGAACCAGTCCAGTTACTATCTTTCCAAAGCTTTGGGGGGAAAATGAAGAAAAAAGAAAGAAGGAAAAGAAAACCAAAAAAGCACCGGTTGTCTTAGAGCATATATAAAAACTCCCTTTTAACAGGAAGAAACCTGCAGCAGAACCAGACTCAGGGAGGGGCAGCCGTCTGCTGCGAGCGAGGGAGTGGGGAGAGGAAGACAGGACAAAAGGCACACTGTGTAAGAGAGTTGGAGATTAATAATAGCTAATGATTAAATGCGGGGGTGTACGTAGAGAGAAGGAAAAAATAAGGTAAAAAAAAGGAGAGGAGGAGTGGTGACATTTATAAAAAAATATTAGAAATGATTGCCAATTATTAAAAAACTTTCCATAATTGCCTCATAAAGAATGATTAGTCTTTGTGTTGGGTATCTAACAATAAATCATACTATAATTTTTTTTTTTATTGCTGTAGATCTAGTAGTCTAAATATAGTGATTCCACCTAGTAAGCAGGTATAGACTGATTTAAAAGAATTGCATTGATAATTTAAATGCCCTGTGTTATGAGGGTGCCATTAAGTTGAACAATCTTTTCTTCCAGCAGGGAAAACCTCTGAATAGGCACAGGTGACTAATAAGACAAACAGGTTGGTTTTCACTGTGAGACGTAAAATGTTTCCAATTCCAGGGGAGAACAGGTTTAACAGGCTGTGATGACCATGATCAGCAATGGTACGTGTTTCCTCCTGCCAGTCGTTCTTCCTCATTTGCCCAAGGTAAGATCACTGCTCCGATATATCTCACATTACACTATTTAATTAGCGGGTAATGAGCTATAAGGTTGTTGGCAGGTGTTATTGGAAATGTCTATGTGGCAGGGGCAGGTCTGTGCCTGTCTGGATCAGGTATCGGGACTTGGATGTGTCTTGTTTACATAAGAGCGAAGTCTCATGTGAGCTCGAGTGACTTGACTGCATTCAGCGGGTGCATTTCATGGCTGATACACTCGGTTTTCGCTGATATAGGGGTTGAAAAATGCATCTTTGCCAGTCAGAGTTGTGTTTACATGCTGTAATAATTAGAGATGGACCGATCCGATATTACTAATCGGTATCGGTCTGATACTGACTTAAATTACTGGATCGGATATCGGAGAGAAATAAAAAATTTAATCCGATCCATTAAATTTCAAAAAAGCACCTCACAAAACTTGCAACATGGCATAACTCGGCTCATAACCTTAGCACGTTGGAGCAGTGTGGTCGGACTGTGTGTATTTGTAGCCTCGCTACCAAACCAGCATTTCATCTCCGAGGAAGTGATCCCAGAGAGAAGTAAAGCAAGTGTGTAAGTTCATCTCTGAATGTTTGTAAAGCGAATTCCCACCTTAAGCTTAACAACCGATATATGGAGCGACTCTCTCTCCCTCCCTCTCCTGCTGCTACTTCAATGTGAAACTGATCAATGATCAGCTGATCAATGATCAGCTGATCAATGATCAGCTGATCAATGATCAGCTGATCGGCTTTTCTGTCACGAGTCCGTCTCTCTTCTTTGTTTTTGGCCCACTTCTCACCAGAAAGAGGAAACCAGCGGCTGAACAACAGCAGCACGTTTATGCTTGAAAATATGTTGTTAGAATTTATTTAATATTACTTTCTACACCAGGATCCTTTTCTACGTGGCTGGTAACTGTGCAGGGGCGGATCTAGCAAAGTTTAGCCAGCGGGCCATAGGGCATGAACAGGGAAAAGGGGGCACAAAGACAAAATTTAAAATGTCTAGCTAGCTTTTAATAAATAATTATCTGAATCTTACACCCAAAGTTTTAATCTGATGTAAAATGTATAGAAGTACATTACTGTATATAGTAACTATTAAGTCTAATATACCCTAGTAAGCTATAGTACTTTTTCCATCTGTGCAGTCTGCAATTCTGTTGAAGAAAGATGTTGAATCTATTTAAATATTGTAGAAAAATAATTTGATGCTGTGCATTTTTTTTTCACACTGCATCAAATTAAAGTTGATTATGTCGATTAAGCATCATGAGGAGGAGGTTGGGGGGTGGTTTATTAGATTGATCAGTGTTGCTGAACTATGAAATATTTTGGGTGCAGTGTATTTTTTACATACAGGTATAACAGAATAGCTTTAGTGTTGTTGTTTATTTATACTTGAGTATGAACTTATACAAAATGCAGCAAGATATTAAAACGTTTTATTTATTAAAAAGCACACTATATCGGATTCATATCGGTATCGGCAGATATCCAAATTTATGATATCGGTATCGGACATAAAAAAGTGGTATCGTGCCATCTCTAGTAATAATTCTGTGTCATCTTGATAAAAAGGTGGACGATGAGTAATACACGTTTAAAAGGGTGAATATTTCACACCAGTTTAAAAACAGTGCAACTATATAGACTAACAGTCTAGATTTGACATTTGTTTCTATTTTTATAATCCATAAAAGGGATGAAGCTGCTGATATTATATATATGGCTTCTATAGTTACATTAAAACACAACTAAAATTAATGTGTTATTAAAAACACATTATTAAAAACACTGAAGTATGTGAAGTATGAGTAAAAGACTGATTTACGCCATCACATGTTACATTGTGTGTACTGTTCTGACGCTGTCACTTTAAACCAGCAGTGCTAAACAATGAAAGACTGGATATGTAGCGCCTTTAATTGTTCAGCAGTCAGGAGGAGAGATAATGCAAGTAGCTATTACGACAGAATCAGAGCTTCAGACTTAAAAGCAGTAATATGAGACTCAGCATCACAGAGCCTGGCATACAAAGAGCCAAACCGCCACATAAACTACCTTACAATTGACTCTTTCCAGTGCGCCCACATTAACACCAGGATAAACTGAAAGACGCTAGTGTACACACAGCACATTTAATTTGCAATACAAGGTGGAAAAGCCCAGGATATATAAAAGAAATGAAGTTTAAAATGTTATTTTTTCATTCTTAAAACCTTATATGTTGGTTTTATTCATTCCCATTTTTTTTCCCAGTTTCTCTGATTCAGTCCTAAACAGAGACAGAGAGTCTGTGACTGTGGATCATTGTTTGATACGGTCATTCATTATTATCACTGCCGTATGTCAGCTGTACCAAAAAAACATTTCTTCAGTAACAAAGTACAAAAAGTACAAGTACTGCTTCAACTTTTGAGATGTTTAGGCTTACACGTGATTTAATGTTATTTTTTTAAACAACAGTCTTTCGTAACCATGTATTAATTAATTAGGTTACTGGCACTTTTACTGAGACTGTATATAATACATGTTGTCTTGTCAATAAAAAATTGTCCTTTTTGTATATAATGTACACTTTCACATGGTCTATTTTTCAGCTTTCTATATTTTGCTACTGCAGAGAGAGACGCCTAACAAAAATAAGTCTGACTCTGACTGGATAGCACAGTGAGAATAGAGTGGAACTATGAGGGAAAGGAGTGGGCACCAGTATGTGTGAACTTCAGTTTTTGTTAGTGAGCTAAATGATGAGTAATCCAGCGAAAATTACTTGGAAATAAAGTAATTTTGCTTAATTCAATAGTGTTTTCACACACATAATGTCCTTTGGATCCTGTATGACCAGGTAAACAACTTTAAGCTGGTTCCACTAATCCTAAAAAGTAAAATTATAAAGTGATGCATTGGAATGTAATGTAAATACATTTTTAATGTAAGTACAACTTTTGATAAAAGTAACTTTCCTAATAATCCAGTCCAACAAATTACCCCCAAAAGAAGAACAGCAAAAGAAAAAGGGCACGACTGATTCCACGAATACTTTTATCACAATTCTGATAAGAGACTCAAATGACTCGTGTCACATGTTAAGAACCTAACATGTGACATTAGTCGTGTGTTAAAAATCGCTAATGTGGGTTCACCAAACACAAGATCATTGTCAGCTTTTCCCCATCAAATACTAGAAGATTGTGACGACTTATGAATGAAGATCAAAAATAACCTGTTTTAAAGTGATGACAAATAAAAATATATTTCATTTGTCACTGAAGGAAAAGCACAGATGTTATCAACAGCAGGAGCTACATGACTCGATAATTGTGAAGAAGAGTCTTACATTAATGCCCTTTTGGGGTTTTATCTGGAAAGCAAGACTGTACCAAATCAAACATACAAAGATATCTGGGTGTAGACTTACATAATTTTTATGTAATTAACTATCTGTGATGAAAACACACATTTCAAACTTGCTCTTATCTACATTTCTGTTTTCATCTTTATGACAGAATCCTGTTTGACCTGTTTGGATGGACCCCCCTTCATATGAGGAGGCCAGTCGCCAACCTCCTGCTCTGCCCATTGCAGCTTTTAACGCTCCCCCGCCTGCCTATGACGCCTCTCTCTCATCCCCACCGACACCTCCACCTGCCTACAGAGAAGCAGGTGAGATAAAAATCTTTCTGCTTCCTTTAACCCCATTTCTTGAGTCAGCTTGTGAGATATTGCTGACAGGATGTACACACTAGGCAGATTACATATGAACATGTGTCCTTTTCTATTTATTTTTTGGCATACTGTTTACATGAAATACCAGGCTGATTTGTAGAAATGTCGTCATTAAGTGTATTTATGCTTTTACTCTGCCAGACAACCACTTCAGTGCATTCTGAAGTAAATTAAAAAATATATATATTTAAAGTATTACCTAAAAGTACCCTTTAAGTTGTTAAGGGTTTGAGTGTGGAAGGAAACCCTAGTGTGACTGCAAAATAACATGTAAACATTTCTTTTTATTTTTTTAAAATCACAGTTACAGTTCAGCCAGATCCTTTTCCTGTCCTGTCTGTGCCAACTGCCGTGTCCTCACCTCCCCACCGAAGCACTGGAGTCATAGTCCATCCCATTACTCAAAGTATAAAGATTGCACTTTTAATATTGACTTTGTTATGTAGACCTGTTCAACTGCTCATTAACAGAAATATCAAATCAGCCAATCACATGGCAGCAAACCAAGGCGTTTAAGCATGTAGGCATGCTCAGCAAGTTCAGTTCAGTCTCTGTGTGCTGCACGCTGCAATGTAAGAGCCTCAGTCCATATGCTGTCTGTAGTCTACTTACCAAGTGTTTGTATTTTAACCCCAGACTGCCTATCGTATCATATTTAATTCATGACTTTTTGTGAGTTTTTGAGACTACTACATCATCACCGTGATCCCCGTGAAAAGCCTGTCTAAACAGCACTAGAGAGAGAAACAAATGTAACAAATATAATTTCAAAGTAAACTCATGTATGCTAATGAATATGTTTTTTCTCAGAAGGTTCACAATATTTTCAAAAATCTTCAACTTTCTGGCAATTATTTCATGGTTCAGGCTTTAAAGGGTCAAAGTGTAAGTACTTAAAAAGGTTTTTCTGTGTTACAGTTAATCCGCATGCTTCTCGTGCTCGCGCTGCAGCTTCTGCTCCAGCTGCTGCGTCCTCGCGTTCCCGACAAGGCAAGTATCAAGACTACATCTTTACTATAAGCATGATCTCTTTACTGCTATTTACACTTACTGGCCACTTTGTTAAGTACACCTTTTCATCTGACTGTCAATGCAAGTATCTCATCAGAAAATCACAGGGAGGTAACTAAATGCATTTAGGTATGCAGATATGGTCAAGATAACATGCTGAAATTGAAAAGGAGCATCAGAATGGGGAAGGAAGGTGGCATTCGTGGCTTTGAATGTGACACGGTTGTTCTCGTCAGACAGGCTGGTCTGAGTATTTCAGAAAAAGCTGATCTCCTGGGATTTTTCCACACAACCATCTCTAGGGTTTACATGAAATGGGCCAAAAATATCCAGTGAACAGCAGTTCTCTGGATCAAAATACCTTGTTGATGCCAGAGGTCAGAGGAGAATAGCCAAACTGTTTCTAGCTCATAGAAAGGCATCAGGAAACAAGATATGCAGAAGAGCATTTCTGAACACACAACATGTCGATCCTCGAGGCAGAAGACCGCACTGAGTGTCTCTCCTGTCAGCTACGAACAGGAAACTGAGGCTACAGTTTAAACTGGCTCAACAAAATTGAACAAGAGAGTCAATCATTTGGTCTAAGTAAGTAAATACATTTTATTTCTATAGGATATTTAAAACCAAAATGTGTTACACAAAATAAAACAGAATAAACAGGTTCCCATGAAAAAACAGCAGCTAACAGCAGCCAATCCTCCAATCGCAGCTCAACAATTCAACTGTTTCACAAGTTTAACAGAAAAGCCAGCTCACATTTAAAAACAGTCTTCACTGATGCTTGCATGAGGTCATCTGGGAGGTCATTTAAGAGTTATGCAGCAACAGCAAGGACACAAGCTGCTTTTGAAATAAGCTTTGACTGCAGGGATTATCAGGAGTAACAGAGGAGCAGACCTTAACGATATGCACGCAGCATAAACACCACATATAAAAAGCTCAAATCATCTCAGACTGGTTTTCTTGACCACATGGCCTCCATAGTCATCAGATTTCAATTCAACATCTTCATGATGTGGTGGAACAGAAGATTTGCATCATGGATGTGCAGCAGCTGTGTGATGTCATCATGTCAATGTGGAGGAAAAACTCTGAGGAATGTTTCTGGCACCTTGTTGGAATCTTGCCATGAAGCTGTAAAGGCAGTTTTGAAAGGGACGTCCAACCTAGTACTAGCAAGGTGTACCTAACAAAGTGTCCAGTGGGTGTATAAGCTTCCGCCTTACTTGTTCTTCTCTCCTTCTAATAACTTCATCTGTCTCCTGAATGGCAGCTGGTGCTGCACCGCGGGTCAACAGCAGACAAACTCAGCCAATAGCAGTAGTGAGCCAGCCACAGCCTGTTCCCATAGCGGTGGAATATCTGAGAGGCGCCCCTGGTTTGGTACGCTGCCCACACTGCAGTCATCTTGTAACCAGTAAAGTCACACATGTACCTGGGACAGCTGCTTGGTGCTGGTGTGTCATTCTTGCAATGGCAGGGTAAGAGCCCCAAACACGCACACAGGAGGAGTATTGCATGTGCACCGGCGCTAAACGAGCTTGAGCAGAGCTTCACTGGTGTTTTCTGTGCTTGTGTTTCAGGCTCATCTGCGGTTTCTGTCTCATTCCATTAATGGTACAGGGAATGCAAGACACACATCACTCCTGCCCACAGTGTGGAAACCCTCTACACGTGCACAAAAGATGACCCTGTGAGGATTAATTAACCTTACACATCGAAGTGTGGACAAATGAACTAATGAACTTGTGATGCTAGTGTGACATCTATGGCAAACGAATACTTTACACAGATGATGGCTGAGGAGAGGCCCGGAGTCATGTGGAGACTTTTGTACAAACTCTCCCAGACTGTTACCGAGGACCTCCAGGTCACCACACACACTACCACACTTTAAGGCTCACAAGCAGAAAAGCATTTCTAGGACGTAAATATGAAAAAGAAATTACACAAAAACACTTTTTGCACTTTCTAATTTTGTACAAATGTATTACAGTGTGAGTTCATTATGATTAAATGACACACAGCAATAACACTTTACACTCGCCTAAAGACAGTTTGACGTGCAAGTGCAGGACGGTCCTTCTTCATTGCAGACAATGGGAGGAGACAATGGGATGCAGCCATGTTTAACCACATTTGTCCAAATTCTAACATGAAAAGAGTTTTACAGCTCTGCACTAAATTATTTTATCATTTATAATTAAGCTTTCATTGCTTTTGAATCAAACTGACTGTGATTTCTATATCTGAAAACGAAAAAAACAAAACTTTGATGTTTTTCAGCTTTACTGCAGGTACAACTGAAGTTTTTAAAGTACCTTTAACTGCCTAACTGCACTATTTTACTCTTAGTGATAGTCAGAAAAAAGGTTATGTGGTTTAAATTATTATATTTATTACATTTGTTATTATTCCATGTGAGAATGGTGACCTAACTCTGCTGCACTGCTTTCTAAGCAGCTGTAATCAGTCAGTGGGACTGACTCATTCTGTTGTGTGGCCAAATGCCAGCCACTCCTGATTGAAACCTGTTCCTGAACTGATTTACAGGACTTCTATTTACTTAGCAACATATAAAAGGTTTGTTTACACCAGCAATGTTTACTCTCTGACAAGCAGACCTATAGAGGTTTTTGGTGTTTGCTACTCTGAAGCATTCAGGTGTGTGTTAGCACACAACAAAGATGACAGACAGTGATCTTAGAGAAACAGTTTTTATTTTCCATCAATCTGGAAAGGGTCGCAAGGTCATTTGCCAACAATTTAAAGTCCTTCACTTTACAGTGAGGTAGACACTGTAGGTAAACATTCAAGACAGCTGCCAGTCATCCCAGGAATGAACACCCCAGCAAATTCACCCCAACATACAGAAGATCCAATAATCAGAGAAACTGCAAGAGCTGCATCTCATACTCTACAGGCCTTGGTTAAATGTTACACTTCATGGGAGTGTTAGAAAAAGACTGATCAAGTATGACTTGTAAGCTTGTAGAGTGGAGTGGAATAAAATTCCTCCACAATGGAGAGAAGGAAAGGGAAAGTGATACGGAAAGTGATTACTTTTAATAATTTGCGGCTGCTAAAGGTGGTTCTACAAGCTACTGAATCATGGGATGTACTTGTTGTTGTTAAATCCTGATATGCAAAACCTTCGAGCTGACAGAAGGTGTACTATTTGCTTCCTTATAGTGACTGTATGTGTAACTTCTGTCACTGTAGTAGTTTGTTTGATTTCAGTAGTGATTTTATTTTTAATCCCATTACCTTTGACTCTGCACCAATGTTAGATTTTAAAATGAGGTCTATTAAAGAATAAAGGAGGTGTGTATTAGCAGTTACCCTTTTCAATTTTGATTCAGCACACTTGTAGGTATTTTAGCTGGACCGTAAATGTGGAGTAGACAAACACAACTTGTATATCTTACCTGGCTTTGGCACGTTTGAAAAGATTTTGCAGCTAGATAGCTATCAGTCACTTCACTGGAGACCAGCAAGCCTGACCAAGAAACAATCGAGCACAGAGGGAGCTTTGATATGAATCTCTCAGAATATGAACAACAGGAAAACCTGTGTGGTACTTAACATTTACTAACCAGCCGAAATTAGCTACTCTTGCAGATGAAAACAAACTCAAACTTCAAGCTAGCTGCAGGTAATGGGGGTACTCATCTATTTTTAAGCAGTTTTCTGGTATTTTGCTGTTTATATCACCAGATAAAACGTTCTTATTTACCTCATTATGATTAAACAGTTTTTATAGAACATAATTTGCCAGCTTAAGTGATCCTGGTGCTGTTTCTATTCTTTAATGCTAAGCTAAGCTAACCATGCAATTGCTGTACGGACATTTTTCTTGTTATCTAACCCTCTGTTAAGTCCAGTATAAAAACAGTGTGATAAAATGATATGACAGTGTGGGATCAAGAATGAAAAGGCTGTTAAATAAAGTGATAAATGGGCTTTCTTTCCCTGCCTTTAATGCTGTAGTGAATGTATCTCTGCCAAGTTGAGGTCATGTTTCGTTACTGGACCAAAAACAAAACATGCATTTATGTATTTTCGAGGGCAAATGGGTGCATTTTGCATATGAACACAAACAACAAATGTGTGAGTAACTTCCTCTTTTATGTCTGCTGTGTGACCTTGTACAGGCAACAACGTTAGGGTTTAGCGTTTAGATATTAGAGCCTGATATGAACAGCAGCCAATAGCAGACATACAGCAGTGCTCAGATAGGAAAGTTAATCAACTATAGGCTGCTGGGTCCAGGCGGCAGATAACGCAAGGATTCACAGTTACACCTCCGGCACTGATACACACATCAGACCTCCCTTTCACCACTCCCTCCGTACCATCTTGCCAAGCTTGTCCAGTTTGTCAGTGTGAGACTGAACCGCCATGAAGAGGCTTTTGCTGCTGTGCGTGACGGCCTTCTGTCTCGGCGTAAGCGTCGCCGCC